GGTGTTGTCGCTTTCCCTGGATGCTGTTCTGAGTCTTAGCCTCTCCTTTTCCCCAGAGCTACTTCCTCAGCCAGGCTCAGAGCCTGTGCAGCTCAGAGAGGAGTGCCATCCCCGACTCGCTGCGTTGGCTCTGCCACCCCCTGGGACAGAAGTTCTTTGTGGAGAGGAGCTGGACAGTGAAGTCTGCCACGAAGGAAAGCCTGTACTGCACCCAGAGGAACCCTGGTGAGAGCTGCTGGTGTCCTGTCTCTCCACCCCGGGACAAAAGCTGGGGTCTTGTTTGAGAGCATGCTCTTGGTGGGCTGGAGGGGCCGTGGAGCTGGGAGATGTCTCCTCAGCTTGCAGGAGCTGCCTCTCTTCCCTTTGTACACTGTCATCCTGCTTGTGCCTCTATATGCTGGAACACAACCTGGATGTGGCCCTGAATGTCTGGGAGGGGTAACTTTGGGGTCGTTGAGGTTTATCCTCCACAGAGGAGTGTCACCACTGTTTTTCTGAGCGGCTGAAGGGCCAAGGGGATGTTTGGCCAAGGGCTGCAGGCTTATAAAGGGATTGAAGGGTTAAAAAGACACAGAAAACATAGTCCTTAAAAATATTTGTGTTAATTTTTGAAGACTTTCCCTCCACTGCCCTTACTCTTGCTCCTGTGTGTTGGTTGTCCTGGGAGGTGGCTGTCACCCTCCACGAGTGGAGCAGCTGCCATTGTCTACACGAGTGGGGCGGCTGCCATTGTTTCTCCTCTCTAGCTGATCCTATTGCCCAAGTTCATCAGGCCTTTTGTGAGAACCTGCTGGAGCGAGCTGTGGATGCCCTGGTGAAACCTCAGGCAAGGAAGGAAACAGCAGGCCAAGAGGAGGAGGAGCCCTGGTGAGTTCTGGCTGTGCTGAGGACTGCTGGCTGGAGCTGCAGGCTCCCAGGCAGAGCTCACCACCATTGACAGAGCACTCTGGGGCAAGCTGCAGAGTCAGATCTTGTTAAGGACTTGAAATGGTGACATAAGTCTGGCCACTACAGCTTGTTAGGAGAGCGAGCTCTGCCTCCTTTTATTGAAACCTGCAGTCAGAGGTGAACCTGGGTATGGTAAGGACTTCTGGTGTCAGCTGGCAGAGCACTGGCTGGTCCTGAACTGGATGGATGGTGCTTTCTCCACTGATAAGTTTCATGTTCAGAGCACTGAAATTAATGTGCACCTCCCATGTCTGTAGACAGAATGTATGTCCAAGGCTCTCAGTGTGAAGGTCTGGCATGTGGAGAGTGACCCCACTGGCCTGCCCCCTTATCCATGAATATTCTCCTAACTGAGGTGCCACATTGACCAGCAGTGAAAATCCCAAGTGAGGTGTGGCAAGAGAGGGAGAGATGGTGGCCAAAATTGTCATTGCCTTTAAGCTCTGTGACCAAATGAAAGGGGCTGATAGGTGGGAACTGGGGCAGCTCTTTGTACTCAACTGTGTCCAGGTTTTTCCTGGACTCCACAGGAGGTGGAGCTCCAGCCTCTGCCAGCAGTTCTGCTCTGTTTCCAGCTGATCTCCAGACCTGATTGTGCCAGGCAAATGCCACCTAAATATATGGGAAGCTCTGTAAGGATCCTGTCCCCCCAAAAAAGGGGTAAAATCCTCAGATGGGAAGGGAACACAGTTCCTCTACCTGTGTTTTGGAAAATATGGGATGCTTAGCTGCTTTTTTTCAATCTCATGTCTGCTTTCTAGCATCGTTGCAGAAAATGAACAGCAGCTCTGATTGCTTGCACAATGCAAATGGTTGTGATCAGAAGCTGCTGTTGATGGGGGAAGAAGGTGGCAGGATTTGTGTGAGTGAGGTGGATTGTCAGTGTACTTGGAGTCCTGGCACCTCGTGGGAAGGACTAGCAATCCAGCAAGCCTTTCTGGACCCCTCTAGGGGCAGGAGGTCAAGATCTTCCTCTCTAGCACGTGCCAGGAAATTAGATCATTGCTCTTCATGCCACTTTCTCTGACTGACACATCATCACCTGCATTCATCCATATTTGCATATATGCAAATAGTCACTTGTGGAAGTGTTGCTCAGCCTCTTCTGAAGGCTGTGATTGCAAAGGAGCCTGTGATCACACTGCAGCCTCTGTCATGTCGAGCATCTCTGTGGCTGCTGGGAGGCTCCTGGTGTTCACTCCAGCTCTGCACTGGTCTCCTTGCACAGGGAGAGGTGAGGCTGCTCCTCCCTGAGCACCCAGCTGTGTGCTCCCACCCTTGGGGCACTCTCAGCAATGTTGTGTTACTTGTAGAGCCTGAACTTTCTGCTGGCTTGGCAATTTAAACAATTTAAAACATGGTTTTAAAAATGCCTTTTGACTGATACCAAAGTCCTGAAGGTGTTGCTTTATTTCTGCTTGGTTACATAGTGAAGATCTGCCTTTCTTCTTGTTCCAGTGAGTTCTCCAGTGCCATGGAGTACCTGAAATTGCTCAACTCTTTCTTGGACTCCATGGGAAGTGGAGCCCCACCTTTTGCCAGCAATTCTGTCCTGAAGTCCTCCCTGGGTAAGTGGCAGAACCGAAGCTCTCTCAGCCACAGGAACTCCTGCTGTTCTGTGTCCCCTCTCTCCCCACCACCTCCCAAAATCCAGGCAAGGAGAAATGCAGTCCTTGGATTGACTGGCTTGCTGAGCAGCCCCATGTCACGCTGTGGTACAGTGGCTCAGACTGGAAGAGGGGGGTTGGGAAGGCTCCTAGACCAGACTGTGTGTTGTAATGCTGTGTTTGCATTGCCAGGCACACTCAGAGCTCAACCCTGTGCCCTCACAGGAGGGCTTGGTCCTGGAAATGCAGAGTAAGAGGAAGGGTGTAGCATATAAACAAGCACAGCAGTGTTGCAGTTGAGGGACAGGAAGGTTTTTTTCCACTTAATTACCTTTTGGACCAAACACAGTCAACCTCACTTTCACAGCAACTGTCATGTTGTCATGTCAGTCTCCAGAGACCTGCAGCCTCTGCTGTAGGCAAGATTTGGGCATGTATTAAGAGGTGCTTGGTTTGGTCCCTTGATGAATGTTTAGTGGGACAATGAGAGCTGTAAAATCCCTCTGAGCCGTGCACTCAGCTGGGCTTGGCTGGTAGCAGGCTGCTGGAGTGTTCCTCTTGCTTGGTGTTGGTACAAACAGCACCTGGCAGCTCTGGATGCTGCTGGAGCATGAGACACAGAATAACCATGCTGTACCTAAAATGTACAGAGCAAACAGAAGGAAAACTAGGTATTTTGGGGTCTAGGGATTATCCTTTGGTATGAAGGGAAGTCTATGTTTGGGTCAATACTGTCATGGAACTTAAAAGCCAGTCAGAGTAGCAGAGTGCAGGTCCTTTAGCCTTAGGTGGGCTTTGGGAAGTTTGAGGGGATGTTAAATAATGGAGGAAATTATACAGGGAACCCAATTTACTGGTTTGATGGTAATTAGTGCCAAAGCATGGGGTTGTTATTTGGGGTGGTGAGCGAAGATCCTCGCCAGGAAAGAAGCCAACAGATTTCTAGGCAAACAAACAGGGGTATGTTCTTATTGACAAGATACAAACTCAGCCAAACTGCAGTCAGGGCTGGGGGCTTTCCCTGCTGCCAGGTTCCTCTGCACTCCTGCAGCCTATCTCATCATCATTCCGAGGGGGGAAGTTGGGGCTCCTCGGCCTCCATCGGGGCAGAAGCCGCCGGCCGGGGGCAGGTGAGCTCTGCCCCCGTGCTGGGGCAGGGGGAGCTGGGTGTGCTGCCCAGGCTGCAGCTGCTGGTTGTCCCCAGGCCCCGACGTGGTGTGCAGGTGGTGGTCGGCAGCAGTGGCCACGGCAGTCAGCTGGCTGAGGGGCGACGACGCGGCGCTGAGGGCGCACTTCGCAGACGTGGAGAGGGTGCCCAAACCCCTGGAGCTGTCAGAGTACGTAGCCCTCACGTGGCCTTTCAACCCCCTGCTCCTCCTAAACAGGGGTGGCCCTTCCCCTGGTGCTGTCCCAAAGGACTGACCCCTGGCTGGGCTCTGGAGTCACACCCCCTTGTGCTTTGGGGTGCAGGCATGCTCAGCAGTTTGTGTGCAGGTCGTGGCTCGAAGGCTGGTTCTAGAACTGTGGGCTGGAAGTGCCAGCAGTGCTTCTTTAGAGAGATCTTTTGGCTCTCTTCTTATTGCACAGTCTCCTGCCTTCCAAAATCAAGACTCACACACTGCTGGAGAGGGTGGTGTCACCACCTCGGTTCATTTGCACCAAAGCATCTTTGCCAGTTTTGTTCCATTTCTCTGTGTTGGGGAGGAGCAACTCCAGTCCTTTTTTTTTTTTTTCTGTATATAAAAAAATAGATGGTATCCCTGGACTTGAAGATGGGAGGGTGAAAACTGGTGCTGGTTGCTGCTTGAGCTCAGCTCCTGGGGCTGCCCTGTGGCAGCATGATGTGGCACTGCTTGAACACAACACTCTTTTTTTCTCTTCCAGAAATGCCCTGGTGAAAGCCACCTTCTACCTGTGTAAAGCCATGCAGGCCTCGCTGTCTGGGAAGGCAGATGGGCAGCAGAGCTCTCTGGGGCACTGTGAGAGGGCCAGCAGTCACTTGTGGAACAGCCTCAACATGAGCAGCAGTGTCTCCAGCACTGTCCTCAACACTGTAAGCCCTGGGATAACGTGGTTTTTCTTGGCTGTCAGGTTGGTCTTGCTGCAGGTGTATCACTCCCCCGTTGTAGCTGCATTCTCCATTCATCCTGTGGCTCAAGGGAGTGGAGGGAAGGGTGTTGATGCCCTTCTGCCTCTGCTACGTGGAGGAGCAGAGCTGCAAGTACATTGTTTTCCCAGGCTGAGCCTCAGCTGAGCTCTTGCACCTCTCCTGACAGAGAGCATCTTTCAGATGCTTTGACCACATTGAATTTGGCCCATGGAAAGCATCCATCTGTGTCCTCCAGAGGAAGTTTCTGTTACCTCTAAAGCAGGACCTCATTAAGTCAACTCTGCTCTGTTTCAGGCAGCACTCAGGAGTGTTTGAACCCTCCTCTGCAGAGTGGGACTGTGCTGTGCTGTTCCTGAGTCTGTGTGGGGCTCATTTTTCTTCTTTCCAGGATTACCTAAAGCTGGAGCTTCCCTTCATGGCATATGGGACACAGCTCTGGGTCCTTCTGTGGCTCCTGGGTGGCAGCTGTAGTGCATTGTAGTTGCATTGCATGTTGTGGCAATGACTGTGCAATGTTTCTGCAGTGCAGTACAGAGGCACTCTCCACTTCAGCAGCACAGGTAGAGTCTCCTAAGAGGAACTAGGACAGCAAGCCATGCTAGGGATGGGGAAAAGGGATTTGGGCAGCAGGTGTGGGCGATGTCAAGCCTGTCTTTGTTTCCCCCTAGTTAGTGTCACCATTTGGGCAGGAAAGCCTTTGCAGAAGGCTGAAGCATTGCTGGTGCAATATCCCATGGCACATCTTATTTGGGATAGAGTCTGGGGCCAGCCTTGGCACTCCTGGAGGAGACATGTGCTCCCTGGGCACAGCCTGGCACTTCTTCGTCTCGGTGCGGGGCCCCAGAGGTGCCAGTTGGAGAGGGGAAAAAAAAAAGGCCAAGTCCTTCTGCCTTGGCTGCATTGTGGTGTGGCTCTGCTGGGAGGGCTGGGGAAGCCCCTCTGGGTGGGCAGCCGTGTAGCAAATGGCCTGTGACTGACCTGCCGGGTGGTGTTAACGAGCCTGTGTGCCTGGGCCCCCCGGGCTCTTGCAGATGATCCAGCTGCTGGCCTGTGACTTGCTGCTCTCTCTCCGCACCAGCCTGTGGCAGAAGCAGGCGGAAGGCACGGACGGCCCA